AGATTATAAACAGGAAGGGAATCAACAAGCGTAAACAGTGATAAGACAAATGGAAATGGCTTTAAGCTCAAAGAGGGAAGGTTTAGATTGGATATAGGGGTAAGTTCTTTACAGAGAGAGTGGTGAGATGCTGACACAGGCTGCCCAGAGAGGCTGCGGATGCTCTGTCCCTGGAGGCATTCAAGACCAGGTTGGATGGGGCACCAGGCAGCCTGCTGTAGTACCAGATCTGGAGGTTGGTGGCCCTGTCTGTGGCAGGGGGTCAGAAATCAATGATCCTTGGGCTCTCTTCTAACTCAAGCCATTCTAGGACTCATTCTATGACTCAGACAACAACACTCTTTCCCTTCCCAGCTAAGTAAAATACTTTAAACCGGTTAGTTTTCCAAATTCAAGTTCCTTTCACTGAAATTTGATGCCAAACCATTTCAATCTATGGTCTTTCTCTGATGGAAATAGTTGAACTTAAGATCTCTTAACATTCTTTCACTAAGCACCCAAGTATTGCGGTGCTTCTCCTGTTTCCCATCTGGATGAATTAACCTTCAGACATCAGTCCTGCACACAACTCAAAACTCTAGCTTCTGGTCTCACGCCCTGCCTCTAAGCTGGGGTGGCACAAAGCAAGTTAGATGATAGCCTGTTCGCTTCTGTGTTCCAGCCCTGAAATGTCACAACTAAGCCCTAAGTCCCTCTCATCAAGCAAAGTTATTATTAAGAACAAAAGAGAAACTCCAAATGAAACAAGCTGTCAAGTTAACATTATCTTGTACAGTCCTTGCCTCATTCCAGTGAGTTTTAACCTTCCTGCCTTCTTGAATCCCAGAGCAGGATCATACATGGCTGATGTACTCACGATGTGACAGACGGGATGGGAAATGCCATGTGATAACATGCTGGTTATGTGAAACAGCAAGGTCAGTCAGTTGTGAGATAACTTAACAGGCCAATGATAAGGGAAGATTAATGCACAAGTTTTCCACAAATATTTGCAGATATTTGAATAGTTGATTGGGTCCAAAACTCCCTTCTCTTAGATCTGATCTACATGGGGAAAGCAGCCAGTAGGACTGCACCCGAACAGGACAGTATGTGGAGTCACCGGGACAGCCACTGATTCAGTCATTCTTAACTGCCCACAAAGTAGGTCTGTCATGGCTCTGTTACAACAATTGCCCAGACTAAAAGTTATTTCAACTTCACAGACAAATAGTAGCAGCTTTGCTGTCATCTTTAGAGATACTCCTGATCAGACCTCTGGAAAGAGAAGAATTAAGGGCAAAGGTGGAATTTCTGCTCTGGGCAAAGATCTACTGCATCACTGTCATACTGCTTGGCAATATGCTTCTAAGGGTCTTCCGTACAGCAGACAATTTGATTGCAATAGACAAAGACATTTGTATGATCATGCTAAAAACAGTACAGTTGTGAGCTGGAGAAACTAGAAGCAGATAAAGAAAACGCTATAGAACAAAAAACGCAGCTTAAAACATGATTTAAGTCTCCATCTTTTTCTGAAAGTAGCTAAAGAAAACAAATCAAATGCTTAAAAAAGCTCATTCATATAATGCACAAAAATATACTACAAATAAAACCCAAAACCTTAAATTAACCCACTCTGCTCTGATGTCCCACTGACATTTCTCTCACGTAAGTGCTGTAGACGGAACCTAAGAGGCTATTTGTTCAAATAAGGCTCATTCATAGAAGAGAGCTTAGCTTACTACTAGCCATCAAGAGAGCCCTTCAAATCAGCAAGAACTGTTCCCGCCTTCAGCAGAGAATACATTAGGCCACTGATTTTCAGTCACTGAAGAAAGGGTCATGAAGGGATTTTAACAGGCCATAAGTCCTCCTCCCCAGTGCAAGATCAGCTCTAACTATATTACTTCTGACTGAAAGCCAACAAACAATGCTTCAAACCTTGCAATGACACAGACGCCATATTTTGCTGAGGCTATTTTTTCCCCAGTCTTTCACTGATCTTACAGGAAATACGTTCATACAACATAAGTACAATGAATCCAAATTAATACCATACATATTGTTTCACATAAAAAAAATCTACAGCTAAAAAGCTAAGCAGGTTTTCTTCCCACCCCTCTGCTGAGTGCACTGCTCCAGTGCAGCAGGCCGAGGCCACCCCAGATTCCATGTGACATCTTCCCACTTCACCCTGCAGACGAACCCAGACACCACAGGGCCAAGGCCATCAGCAAAGCTCACAGCCAGTCCCCCACTCCTCACTTCATCTCACAGCTGCCACCAGGAGAGTAAAGCCTGGAAGAAAATGTGAATCTGCAGGAGTATCTACAGGTGCAAGGAAAACTGTGGTATATAGGAGCACACATCATAACTACACTGCAGGCTCCCAGGTGCCATTTGGAAGCCTGAAGTGACTCCAGCAAGTGGAAAGCAATAGCCAAGTCCTGAAAATTAGTTCAGACAACCCATAGGTGCCTTTGAAATAAGCAATCCGAATGCATACAGAATAAATATGTGAAAAATGCTGCAGGAAATTGAATGGCCATTGATAACTTTGGAGCTAAATCAGCCTGGGGAAATAAATTAAGATGCTGGTTTGTCATAACAGTCTGAAGTCACTGTCTCTGGAGTCTTCCAGACATACAGAAAAGGGAACAAAACAGATACAAAAAAGGAACCAAGCAGCAGAGTCCATGCTCTGAGTAATACAGTGTTATATCACAGAATTATTTAAGACGGAACAGACCTTCAAAGGCCATGTAGCCCAAGTCCCTGCAGTGAACAGAACACCTACAGCTCAATCAGGTTGCTCAGAGCCTGGTCCAGCCTGACAGCCCTGGGATGAGGCATCCACCACATCTCTGAGCAACCTGTTCTGTGGCTTCACTACCTTTATTGTAAAAATTTTCTTCCTTATATCCAACATAAACCTCCTGATCTAGTTTGAAACCATTTCCCCTTCTATCACAACAGACCCTGCTCAAAAGTTTGTCCCCTTACTCCTTATAGCACACCTTTAGATACTGATACCACTCCCAGGCCTCACCAGATCCTTCTCCTTCCCCAAGTTGAACAGCCCCAGCTGTCAGCCTGTCCTCACAGGAGAGGCATTCCATCCTTTGGATCATTTTTGTGGCCCTCTTCTGGACACACTCCAACAGGTCCATGCTTCTCCTTTACTGAGGACTCCACATATGGCGTGTTACTCAGATGAGGTCTCAACAACATAGTGCAGAGGGGCAGGATTACCTCCCTCACCCTGCACTTCTTTTAATGCAGCCCAGGATACAGTTGGCCTTCCAAGCTGCAAGGGCACACTGCTGGCTCATGTCCAGCTTCCCATCCACCAGTAGTCCCAAGTCCTTCTCAGCAGGGCTGTGCTCCATTCTTACATCCCCCAGCTTGTACTGATAGTGGGAGTTGCCACAACACAGGTGCAAGACTTTGCACTTTGATTTATTGATCCTCATGAGGTTCACCTGGGCCCACAGCTCAAGCCTGTTGACGGTCTCTCAATGGCCTCACTACCATTTTCAGAAACAAATTTTGGATCCCCTGCAACAGGTGGAACTCCCACTTCACCCAGAGGGAGGCAAGAATTCTTTAAACTGCTCTCTACACTACTTGCATCCAATATTTTGTATATTCTGAGTGAATTTATTCAGAGAAGTTTTGGCTTGACTTTAGTCCTTTCTCTATTAGTGCTATTTGTCCCTTCACTATGAACAAGTGTTAAGCTCCCTGTTATAACTAAGCTTGACCCTTCCAAACTGTTCTCAAGTGTGATTCACAGAAAGCACCTGCACTCATCCTCTACAGAAAACAAGTAAAACAAAGCTTCCTATTACCATTATTAAAAAAATAAAATAAAATTGAGTGTTCTGGTCCCACATTGTCGTAGCTACAGTAATCTACTCCCAGAAAGGAGAAACATCCATTACACAGCCCATATCACAAGTAACAGTATCCATAGACAAGATGATACTAGCTGCCAACACGTGGCAGCCATTTCTCTGCCCTTTCTATCACCTCACTCATACCCACCTGGCACAGACCAGTTCATTCTGCACAGCTGGGCTCTGATTTTCCCAACTAAACAAAGCGTAGCACTGATTCTACCTTCAAAATACTGACCTGTTGCTGCAACATTACTTACATGACAACCAGAGGAGATAAACACTGTTTATTAAATACCGCAGAACAGCAAACAATCCTCCAACAAAACTTGTTTTAAAGCCTGCTGATAATTATTTGCAACTATTCCTCCAATTAAAGATACATTTCAAGCCGTTAAGGACACAAGGATTGTGTTGCACTTCTACTGCCACACAGGAAAGAACAATTCTTGAAGTGTCACAGATGCTGATTTTTTTCTTTTTTTTTAAACCTCTGGCTGCAGATCAGACTTATTAGCACGTATTTCTGACAGAGGGAAAAGCAAGAACACAGAACGCACCATACATTGCTAAGCACCAACTATTGATGAAGTTCAAAACCAAAACCCCTGCTTCCATGGAGAGCTGTGCTCAAGCATCAGTCAGGGAAAGCAAAGCAGCTCCATCTAAAAGCTTTGCACTATGCTTTCCCAGCACTGTTACCGGCAGCACGCCTGTCACCCCAACATACAGCCCTGCATGTGACCCACTTCTGGGCCTGTGCCAGGAAAGGAGCAAGGGCTGAGAAATGGACACAGCAGGTATAATCTGCTTGGATAAAAGGCATCTGGTCAGGGGCTGGGCAGTAACTCCTGCTAAGACTTGGCCACCCTTCTTGATGTAAGCAATCTTCTTCACTTGCACACAGGTAAGAGGCAAAGACAACCATAACACTACAAACCTTACTGAAGGGATCAGTCAGCACTGCTCAAGATCCACATTCAAGAAAAAAATCCCTACTCACTGAAGAAAGTGTTTAAGCATTACAGAAAGCGCAGTTCCCTCATCTCCACAGCGCAACTCTCAACCCTGGGCGCAAACAGAACAGACCCATCACCCTCAGCACCCCGTGCTTTCTACCTGCCGGCTCCGTCCTGCTGGCCGCATCCTGCACAGCCCCACAAACGCTCCACACCTCAGAGGGCACCTGGGGCAACGACCGTTAAACGCCCGCGCCCCGCCCCTTTCATACGGCCCCGCCCCTTTTATCATACCCCGCCCTTTCCCGACCACGCCCCTTTTCTCGCCCCGCCCCCGGGGCTCCCGCCCGCTCCCTCCGTCGCACCGCCGCTTATCGCCGGCCGCAGCCGCCTGGGCCCTTATCGCTCGCTGACAGTAGCGACACGCCCGCCGCGCGCCGACCGCTGCGGCGGACGGCGTCCACGCTAGCCCCGTCGCTCCGGCGGGCCGCGAGATCCCCGCGACCCCCGCGCCGGCTTCAGACGCCGGGCCCGGGGCGGAGCTGGGCGGAGCGGGGCCGGGCTCGGCCCAGCCCAGCCCGTCGCGGCGGCTTTGTTACCCGCATGCGGCAGCGTCCGGGAGGCGGCCGTCTCCGCCC